GGTGGGAATATATTGCCATGTTGAAAGTTTGAAACCGGTGATCCTCTTCCTCACTTCCCTTGGTATAGGTTTGATTGTAATTTGTTTAAAAAAAAAAAAAAAAAAGTTTGCTTTCCCTTCTGTTCATTGTCTTCGTCCCACCATCCCTAATCACCTCAATGTCCATTTCCTTTTTGATTTAAGGGCTTCTATCTCGTCCCCTGTTCTGATCTCATTCCCCCAGAGATGTTTCCTTTTCTACTTTTCCTCTCTGTTTTCTCCTTCCTCTCAATCCCAGCTTCTTCTCAAGTCACAGAACTCTTCTTTCCTGGGTTTAAACACACAGACACAAACATAACCCTAGATGGTATTGCACAGATTGAGAAAAATGGGATTCTTACGCTAACAAATGCAACCAATCGGTTTATGGGTCATGCCTTCTACAGTTCCCCATTCCGGTTCAAGAACTCTTCAAGTGGTGAGGCTTTTTCTTTCTCTGCTTCCTTTGCTTTCGCTATAGTCCCTGAGTACCCAAAGCTTGGCGGCCATGGGTTTGCTTTCACTATCGCTAGTTCTAAAGATCTCAGAGGAGCTCTTCCCAGTCAGTATCTCGGCCTTCTCAACGCCGGTAATATTGGAAACTTCTCGGACCATCTGTTCGCTGTCGAGTTCGACACGGTTCAGGATTTTGAGTTTCAGGACATCAACGACAACCATATCGGCATCAACATCAACAGCATGACTTCCAATGCCTCTGCTCCTGCAGGATACTACAGTGACAGTTCCACGAAACAGAATCTCACCCTCAAGAGTGGCATAAGGATCCAAGCTTGGATCGATTACGATTCTGTACAAAATGTCATCAATGTTACGATTTCCCCCAATTCATCAAGACCCAGTCTGCCGATCTTGTCTTTTCGGGTAGATCTTTCGCCGATTTTCCAAGAATTTATGTATGTCGGTTTCTCTGCTTCAACAGGGTTACTGGCTAGCGCGCATTATGTTTTGGGTTGGAGCTTTAAAATCAATGGAGAAGCTCAATCTCTGGATCTCTCCTCTCTTCCTTCCCTTCCGGGACCCAAAAAAAAGCACACAGCTTTGACAATAGGAGTCTCTGTTTCATCCGCTCTTCTTGTTTTATCCGCCATATTCATCGCCACTTACCTGATTATAAAGCAAATCAAGGACAGAGAAGTGATTGAAGATTGGGAGCTCGAGATTGGACCCCAGAGATACCGATATCATGAGCTCAAGAAAGCAACAAACAATTTCAACGAGAAGATGCTACTCGGCCGTGGCGGCTTTGGTCAAGTTTTCAAGGGAACACTAAAGGATTCAAAGTTAGAGATTGCCGTCAAGCGAATCTCTCACGAATCAAATCAGGGGTTGCGTGAATTTGTGTCGGAAATTGCGAGTATTGGCCGGCTTCGTCACCGGAACTTGGTTCAGTTGTTGGGATGGTGCCGGAGAGGAAAGGATCTTCTTATTGTCTACGATTTCATGGCTAATGGGAGCTTGGACAAGTTCTTGTTCGACGAACCCAAAATCGTCCTGAATTGGGAGCAGAGGTACAAGATCATAAAGGGCGTTGCTTCCGGGCTTCTTTATCTCCACGAAGGGTACGAACAGGTTGTGATTCACCGAGACGTGAAGGCTAGCAACGTTTTACTCGACAGCGAACTCAACGGAAGATTAGGGGATTTCGGGCTCGCAAGATTGTACGAACACGGGTCGAACCCGGGGACGACACGGGTCGTCGGCACATTGGGTTACCTAGCGCCGGAGCTTCCCAGGACAGGGAAGGCCGCCACCAGCTCTGACGTTTACGCTTTCGGTGCGCTCTTGCTGGAGGTTGCGTGCGGGCGCAGGCCCATCGAGCCCAAGGCAACGCCAGAGGAGTCAGTGCTGATTGACTGGGTGTGGGACCGGTTCCGAGAGGGTGACGTCCTTGAGGCGGTAGACCCGAGCCTGGATGGTCAATACGATGAGGGTCAAGTCCTGATGGTGTTAAAACTGGGTCTACTCTGCTCAAACGACACGCCAATGGCACGACCCAGCATGCGTCAAGTGGTTAGGTATCTAGACGGGGAGGCTGTATTGCCGGACAATTTGAGCGTTGCTGCCGCTTTCGACAGCAGAAAAGGTATCGGATTTGATGAATTTCTACACTCGTTTGCATCTTCTTCGTTTGATGGAATCAGCTCGACTTCGTTTAAGGACAATGGGCATGCCGGTACTAGTTTTGCTTCCGTTTCTACTTCTCCGCTCTCTCTTCTTCGAGAAACAAGATGATATATTGTATGGTTATGGTGTAGTTAGAATTTTCTTAAAAGGCAATGATGTTGCATTTTCTTCTTTACTTCCGGTTTGGTTCGGATCATATAATGCAAACAATTCAAATATATTGTGCTGTTCATTCATCCAATGGTTTTTTTCTCCTTTTTTTTTTTTTTTTGAAAAGTATGGATTGGTATAAGTATATCACCAACTTCAAAATTAGTTAATTTAAAATTACAAAAAAATTTCATATATATCACTTAATTTATATGTACAAAAATGATATAAAATAACTTTAAAGATCTCATTTAAAGAAATTAAGTTTTTAATTCATCTAATAATTTTAATTTTATAATCTAACATAATTAAAATTATAAAATCATGAACTCTTAATATAATCAATTGTATTATAAAGATAGAACTATGGAACTATGAGTGCCAACCAAGAGTTCATTGGTAAATGGAAAAACAGGAGGAATTTTCAAACACAGTAAAACAAAGGCCTAGACATACCTTGGAATGGATGGAGTCATAACAGAGTGGGGTTTTAGCAAAGTCTTGGGGGTTTCTGCACTTTTCCTGAAGAGTCAACTAACAATCGAACCCGTCGTTGGTTGAAATCCATGGTAAAAAGACAGTTTGGCTCAATCACCTGAGTCTGAACCCCCGGCATATCCTCCTTTATCTTTCTCTCTGCTTCTTCTACGGTCATGCCTACCAGCTCAGGCCACTCCATTTTCCGGACAGCGTTTGGCCCAGATGTACTCGCAATCCCATAAGTCCCTGCACATCTTTCTTCGATAAGGTCTCAACTCCACTAATACAGAGAAGATAAGAGAAGCAAACAACATACTTGGCAAAACTCCAGTTTTGTTGAGGAGCTTGCTCCTCAAGAGATACAGTGTCCTTGTCTTGACCAGCCATAGAAAAGCAATAATATTGTCTTGCTTAGGGATGAAGAACAAACTAATTTAAAGGTCATGTATCTATCCAATCTCATAAATATTTTTCAGGCTGATGTTGATTATACCACACAAGAATTTGTTTTGCTAGGCCGGCTGCCGGCTTGCTTGATCAACTATGTTGACAATCATTAATCACTTATAACCCAAAATCCAAAATCTGACATCAACTGTGATCATTTCTGGGCCCGCAAGCCTGGCAGAATTTTGGGGTAACCTGAATTAAAACCTCACATCACAATTGGGCTTAATTCATAAGAAATTCAACAAAATATCTCCTTTGGAACCACGTACTAAAGTCTGAACATCTTGGCAATGGCTTCAAGAATTTGGGAATATTAAGAGAGTCAAAATTTTAAGGATTTAGTCTTATGGTTATACTTGATTTGCAAGCGAGTGTTATCTAAGAAATAAGAAACATGTCCAAAGTCATGAGTCATGTCAAATTTAAATCTCATGCAACCCAAGGGACTCTTCATTTTCTTTGATTGTATTACGAACCACCAATTTCCCCAAATTTCACCCATTTTTCTTCCTCTGAATCTCTCTTGATTTCAAATTGCAGAGAAATATTTTTGGAGGTGTAGAAATTAGGATCCACAGCTGATATTTTGGACTTTTAACATGCCAGTAGGCATTTTGTGTTCATATTGAGACTGGAGTAACAATGTCTAACCAACAATGTAAGATATCATGTAGTAACAAATACACAGATCGAAACACAAATAATTAATACAAAATCTTGAGAATCATCGACCTTCTGAAAGTAGGGACTCAGCAACTGAAGAGGTATCCAAAGATGGATAGGACAAGGCAAAGTCATCAAACCCTTCACCATGGGTAAACGTTAGGCCACCTGCAGTGAGGCCTAGTGCTGATAAATCCGGTAAAGGAAGATCCATTTCTAAGTACTGCACCACTTGGCGCATGCTTGGTCTGAATCTAGGGTCTGAATTCGAACAGAGCAACCCCAGATTCAACACCAACTCTACTTCCTCTGCCACAAAATCTGTCCCTAATTTTGGATCCCTGACCTCTAGAATCTCCCCTCTTAGCCAAAACGAATACACCAGATCCACTAGAATCATATTCTCATTTTCAGCTTGTTGCTCTATTGGCCTTCTTCCACACGCAACTTCAAGTAAAAATGCACCAAAAGAAAAAACATCTGTCTTTGTCGTGGCCTTCCCGGTACGGGTATGCTCTGGTGCAAGGTACCCAAGAGTTCCCACCACATGAGTTGTTCGTGGATCCGTTCCATGATCATACAATCTCGCTAACCCGAAGTCACCTAATCTTCCATTTAATTCACCATCCAAGAGGACGTTACTCGCCTTGACGTCTCTATGAACAACAACCTGCTCCCATTCTTCATGTAAATAGAACAACCCTGAGGCTACACCCTTGATGACTCTGAACCTCTGTCTCCAAGTCAGTGTGACCATCGGTTCGTCATAGAGGTACTTGTCTAGACTTCCATTCGGCATGTAGTCATAGACCAAAAGCAGCTCAGTTTTTCTACGGCAATATCCTAAGAGCTGGACCAAATTCCGGTGACGGAGACGACCAATACTAACAATTTCCGCCACGAATTCTCGCATCCCTTGTCTCGATTCATGAGAGACTCTTTTCACTGCAACCTCCAATTTAGAGGTGGGTAGTACTCCCTTGTATACCCTACCAAATCCTCCAGTACCCAGTAATCCTTTGTCTTTGAACCCTTTTGTCGCAACATACAGATCTTTGTACTTGAATCTTTGAGGCCCGTATTCGAGCTCCCAGTCTTCAACCTCATCGGCAAATTTCCTCTTCCTTCTTATGAAATAAACCATCCCAGACCCTGTTGCGAAAACCAGAGTCAGGGAAATTAGAGGCATCCCAATTGTCCAGAATTTCGTGGGTTGCTTCGTTCCTCTGCGAGGAAGCTTAGGAAGCTGGGAAATGTCGAGCTCTTCGGCTTTCCCGTTAATCATGAAGCTCCAGCCTAGGATATAATGTGATGTCAGGACCGAACCCGTTGACGACGAAAATCCGACGTAGACGGTGTCGTTAACCAACGGAGACAGATCAATTGGCAGAGACAGAAGCGGAACTTTGGGTTTAGGAACATTAATTGGAGCTAAGGTGACATTCATTATCTGTTCTAAACTGTCGTACTCGACCCAAACCAGCATTGGCCGACCGCTGATGAGGGTCAGGTTGCTAAACTGATCGGGACCATTGACATAGTACCCAGCTCCATGGGACACCTCCGACTTCAATCCATTAATATCGATGCCGACATGGTTGTCATCGATGTCGTTCAACTCCTTATTCTGTATCGTATCGAGTTCCACAGCAACAACATGATTACTGGAGTTTCCATTGTTGCTTTCATTGAATAAGCCGAGGAATTGGCTCGCCAGACCACCCGAAAGGTCTCTGGTGGGTGAAATCACAAAGGCGATGCCATGGCCGCTGAGAGTAGGGTATTCGGGCACTATAGCGAAGACGAAGGTGGTGGAGAAGGAGAAAGCAGTGCCGTTTGTGGAGCTCTTGAATTTCACCGGAGAGGAGTAGAAAGCATGACCCTTTTGCTGCCTGGTATCATTGGTGAGCTTCAAGAGTCCGTTGAAGGTGACCTCTGCGAGACCGTCGAGGATCAAATTCGCCTGCCGGAACCCTTGGTAGATGAAATTAACATCTCCGGCGATTGAATTAACCAAGAGAACCAGTACAGCGAGCCTGAAAAACATGTTGGATTATTTTTTCATGGGTTCTCTTCTTGGGCGAGCTTTTTGTTGCTTTTTAAAACGTTTTTTCTCCTTTCGCTTAAAAAGACAAAAGTAGGTCCATCGCCGTCTGTCCACACGGTAAGCGAGTCAAATTTTTCACTTTGTGATCGCTATAAATGGGGGGTGGTGTAGAAATAAATTTTTTATATTATTTTTTAATATAATTTGTATATGTTATTAAATAAATATATATATTTAATATCATAATATCTATACAAATAAAAAAAGTTAATTATGTAAATGATATATTAAATTATAAAATAATAATACAAAAAATTATTCTAAAATTATTTCCCGTCCAAGTGGTAAGCAGCACACCTAAGTGGATAGGTCAGATTGGCTTGGAGGTTTCCCAGTGAGTTGCCGTGACCACGTGGCCCGTGCAATTTTTCTAGTTGCGTAGTAGTATCAACTTTGCTGGTTTTGTATGGGAGTTCACATTGGAAAGACAATGAGTGGATATTGAACACATGGATTGCGAGTCAACAGATGGATAAGGGCTTACTCTTTCTTCTTCTTCTTATTCTTTTTTTTTTTTTTTTTCTTATTCTTTTTTTTTTTTTTTTTAATAAGGGTAATAATTAATAAGTTAGTAATAATTAATTGTTAATAATTGGTTCTCAAACTGTGTGAACATTCCATCCCTCAAATGAGACACATGGTCATCAAGCTAATTTTTGGTGAAGTTCACGATGGTGATGGAGTTCGAAACTCCGATCACCTCACCCAAACACTTAACGCTTGGAGTTAAACTATTAAATATAAAAGTCCAGTTCAGATAAGGGCTTACTTTGACAACTTCGTTTGTGGTTGTAAATCTTTTATTTTTTAAAAAATTTAAAAATATATAAAATATATTTTATATATTAATATTTATTTTAATTAATATTTTATATATTTTTAAAATAATAAAAAGATATAACAATTGAAAAGCAATGTGTTAAAAAGTGTTGTTAAATAAAATCAAAGATTGTACGTGAAAGGAAAATAAATCCAAAGAGTAGAATTTATTAGTAGAGATTTATAAATTTAATAAGTATACCTTTTAAATTTAAAATTATATCTTCTCATATCTTAATAAAATAAGTAGGAAAAAACTTATTTCACCAACTTGTTTATACCGTGTA